TTTTTTCCTGGTTCTGTGTTATTTATGAAATATTTCTGCCATACTTGGAGGACAAGAGGACATTTTCACATCCTCAGGTGCACCTCAGTAAAACTGAACTAACTAAAAACTTGTGAAGGGATATATTATCCAAATAAGTTATCACTCCCTTACAGAGGAAATATTTAATTGTGAGAATACTTTAAAATACACAATGACATCACCGCAATTTATAAGCTGATTGCTTCAATTAATAAAACTGATCAATATTCCCAAGGAATTGTATTCATTTCCTTCAGGCACAGTGTCAATTTATGAAAGGAACCAATCCAAGCCTTTTTTTTTTTTCTTTAAGTAAGTGAAATATTCATCACATTCCTCTGCTCAGAGGCCAGCAGGGTTTGCAAACCTTCAGGTTACCACAAGAAAATTGAAACAGGAAAAAAAATTTCAGAGAAAAAGCAACACACTCCCCTTTCTGGCATAATAGAATCTTGAATATGAGCACCATGAGAATTCAGACTTTTAATTAATGTGGATTTTTGGTCAGCTTGGTGTCCATGGATTTGTTTTCTCCATTATCCCAGAGCAGTTCCTTCTGTGCACTTTATTTATAACTCACCTGAGATGGCACAGTTTGCTTCCACCCTGATGCCATTTCCTGCCACACATCCTTTTCCAAATTCCTGTTCTCTCACCTTTGGAATTCTCCTCCCACCATTCCATGTCCTGCTGGGTTTCCTACACTTGATTCCAACTCCTCCCCACACTTCCTGAGCTCACTGGACCCACCAGCTTGGCAGGAACCCCCAAATATCAGCACAAATGTTCCAAAATAGATCTGCAAATCAGCTGAAAGCAGCCTAAGCTCTACAGCAAGATCTAAACCATTCAAAATCAAATCAAAACGAGGAGAAATAAATTCAATACCTATGTAGTACTTCATCTCAGTGTCATGTTTGTTCATCAGCTCGAGCAGTCTCACTTCAATCTGGGCCTGGTTTAGGAAAGCCTTCTTGTTTTTGATGATTTTGATGGCCACCCACTCCTGCTCCACTCGGTCATAAGCCTTCACAACCTGCAAGAGAAGCCAAATCCATCAGGAAAATCCCATTTTCAATACCCACCCAAAATCCCTTTTTCACCTTTCTCAATTCAGAATTCTCCTTTTTAATTCAATTTCTTCTGATGATACAACAATAAAGCTACAATTGATTTGGTGATGTTTGTTGCAATAATGTCACTTTATAAAATTATCTAAACCAACTCTATTAAAGGACTGGTAAATCTGAGAAAAACAAAAAACTACAAAATAAAAGTTCCATCTTCCTTCCAGCCTTGGCTGAAGCTGCAACCAGTCAAAACAAATGCAGCTAATGGCATTTATAAGAGATAAGATCCAGCACTAATTATTGTTTTAATTTAAAAACCCAATTCAAACTAAAAACCTAACTCAAACCAAAGCCAAAGTCAAGTTAGAAATGTCAAGAGATGGCAAAAGGTGGAGGATTTCTCATTGCAAAATGAAACACACACTGAAATATAATTAAATGTTTTCTGTAGTAACATGAAATAGCACAAAATATGAGTGTCTGAAAAGCACTCAGGATGACAGGACTGAGAAAAAGAGAGTTTTAATTTCAAAATGAAGCAGCAATAACACTTCAAATTAAATACAACACAGAAATGATATAAATACAGAAGGAGCCATTACCTGTCCAAAGGATCCTTTGCCTATTAAAGAGTCGATTTCATAGCGGTCCATCCACTTCTCCCCATTTTTCACAATGTAGTCGTAGTTGTCATCATCATAACCATCATTGTAAACTTTCCTCTCCTTTTTGTGACTGGAATCATCTCCCTGGCCCTGCTGATGCCGCCGTTTTTTTTTTGCATAGTAAACCTGGAGGGGAAAAGGAGCTTCCTTAAGAGCCCTGCTTAGCACAGCAGCTCAAGAAAGAGGAAAATCAGCTTTTATTCAGCATCCTGTGGTTTTAAAGTGCAACTTTTATAAGTGGAAAACCAAGCAATCCTCTCCTCCTATTGCTGTGTTTGAAGTCAGGTCATTATTCCAAAGGAAAGTCTTGAATAATTGAAGAACTGGGAAAGCAGAGCTAAAGAAATGTCCTAACACTAATAAATAATAGTAATACCACTGACACATGTACTAACACTAATAAATAATAACTCTGATAAATGTACTAACATAAATAGTAGTAATAGCACTGACAAGTGTACTAACACTAATAAATAATAATAATAATAACACTGATAAATGTAGTTTCACTGATCTCTGGAGTTCACAGGTACCAAAGGAACAGAAACAGCCCAGCACACTGTGCACACTGTAAAATTCAAAATGCTAACTAGCTTGGAAACAAGAATTACCACCTGATCTTCCCATAAGATTGGGAAAGAGTTCCAATGAAGTCATTAATCACCATAAAAATCCCTTCACATTCCCTTTAATTGTCAAAGTCTGAAACTTACTGATGCTTTCCTGTATTAACCTGAACAACTTTATTTTCTATTTGTCGATAATATTGAATTCAATCATTTAGGGAAAACACTTCTACATTTTCCTTAAAACCTCTTAGAAACATTAATAAAGTTTTACTGAGCTCAAAGTGTGCTTGTGCCACTTGTGTCTCCTTGTCCTGCCAGCTCAACATGTGTTTATAAAACAAGAGGAAATAAATCCCAGGATAAAAGATTTCCTGTGTGCTGGACAGAAAACAGGACCACGACAGCCATGACCTCAAACAAGACCTGAACAACTGAGAGAAAACTCGATTTTTTTGGATCTCTTGATGAGACTGTTTGTAGAAAATCCATTTAAATCATGTCTTGTAACAAACATCAGGTCACATTAAAGACAGCTGCAGCCATTACCTCATTAATATGCTTGTAGGTTTTGATCAAATCTACGGAGAGTTTCCTCAATGGAGCAGTGGCTGGATCACGAAAAGTTTGGGGCATCCGCCTCTGCAATGGGAATATGGCAGAAATTAGAACAAAAATAGCAATTTAATGGTATAGTTTAGCTATAGTTACTACATCAAATTGTGAAATTCCTCACAGAAATGAGCTATTTAAATGCAACAGGTTGTTGTTTTTTTTTTAACTGACAGTAAAAAAATACCCCACACCCAGTTTAGTTATTTTTTGATATATTAGTAATTTCTAATACATTAAGAATTTTTCAAAAAGGAGTAAATTCCAAGATTCCTACCTCTCCTCCCACTACACCCAACAGGTTTAATCCAAATCTCCTCGGACAACAAAGGCTCTCCTCCATCACTGCTCTCACTCAGCACTGACACATGAACTGTCACCATCTTTAAGGTACAGCTCCAAAGGAACTTCACAGGAAATTCCTTTGGAAGTTCACAGGAATTGCTGGAGAACTGGGCCAGCTCACCACATTCAACTGCATTACATTCCAAATAAGAATAAAATCCAAAACTACCAAAGACAAACCATCCCCAAAGGTTGTGTCAGCAGTGCCAGACGAGCTCTGGGAACTCTGTCCCACCCAGCCAGAGTGTGATGGAGACTTTGGAGAGTGGCTGATCCCTGAGCCTGCCCCTCTCTCCATCCCACAGCACAGGTGGCTCTGGAATATCCCCAGGGAGGAGACCCCAGCCCCTCTCTGGTCCCTGCCCAGGGCAGAAGTTGTGCCTCCTGTGCAGGGGGAATTGCTGGGCTCAGTCCCTGCCCGTGGCTCTGGGGCCATGGCTGGGCCCTGGAGCAGAGCCTGGGACTGCTCTGAGCCTGCCTGCACACAGGGACACACAGA